AAGTAGTTATAACAAACTTTATTTGAATCTTTCTTTGGTCCTTTCGGTAAAGTCACGTAGAAAGAAATAAAATAAAATAATTAGAGTTGTGTTGTCTCTCTGCGTGCGTGTCTGTCTTTTGTCTCTCTCTCAAATTTCCTTCTAGCTGACGACGGTTGTTTGTGTTGCAATCGAAACGTCGTACTCTATTATTTAATGTATTTTCTCTCGAGTTATTCTAGTTAGAACAACTCCTAGTGGTGCCACCACGTGCCTCGTGAAAGTGAAATCCCTGGCACTGGTGGCTGATGGGCCCTGCCACCTCTGCACCGTCTCGCGATGCCCCGCCCACTCCCCCCCCCCCCCCCCCGTTGAGAGGGGGGGGGGGGGCGGATTCTTCGCTCTCTGATTGGCCAAGAGTTTTCCCGCCTTTTTAAAAATCTCTTTGGCGTCGAGCGCACTCGCGGTTTTCCCGCTGAGGAGCTTCGTTTACACAAGCAAATACTGTATATTTCTAACCAACGCGAAAGAAAACATCAAACAACCGACAATTAACGTCGACTAACACCAAGCCAGCACTGAGCGGCGTGGACAACTCACTTCGTGTGTGCGCAAGCACGACGTCTGGGCCAGTTTCCCCTCAGCCACGACTCAGAATCCACAACAACTGAGGTGTAATATCATACATTGCTGTCATAACTATTGTCTGTGTTAGCATAGTTGTGGGGGTGGTCAATTGGTGGTCCAATGTGTAACAACAATCGTTCGTGTCGTCATGGAGAATATAAGTAACATGGTATGATCAATGCCTTATTCACACATATGTACCTCCACGTAAAAACATTTTTTTAACACTTCCTTAAAAGTGCATCGTTTCAGGAACATTGTTTAAATTCAAGCAAACTACCGGTGTCGATCGTCTCACATGGTAGTCAGGCTTCAACCAATGCTTGCGAACTGCGAGATTATAATTTTTATTTATACCGCAGGAGGAATCCGAAGAGCTATAAAGCTCTTGGTTCTTTCGGTAAAGTCACGTAGAAGAGAAATAATAAAATAATATGAAACAATAACAATTCTCAAGATGTTTCGATTGCAACACAAGCAATCATCATCAGGTGTGAAATCCACAACAATATTTATTATTTTTATTATTTTATTGGTTTATATTGTTATTATTTTACTATTTCCCTTCTACGTGACTTTACCGAAAGAACCAAGAATATGAATCCCTGCAGTCACGAAAGAAGCTTTAAATAAAAATTTACAAAGCTCTTGTTCAAGGGTGCCCCAGTAAGTAGGGGCACGGGGTAAGAACATTACAGATGTTAAGATGTTATAGGCACGAATGCTCTTCCTTAGTCAAAGCTAAACTAAACAAATACAGCCCTACATCGGTAGGACATCTTCACTCATAAGAAATTCAGAACATCTTGTGAATGTGATCAAAGATATTAAACTTAAACTTCATGATATGTTGGTGAGTTTTGATGTGATTCGCTATTCGCTAAGGTTTCAGTGAGCGAGTCGCTTAAATTACTTGATACACTAGTAAAGAATACAGGTTTACCAAAAGATATTCCGAAACTCGCTGAACATTAAATTTCGATTTAAAGCTTCTTTCGTGACTGCAGGGATTCATCTTCTTGGTTCTTTCGGTAAAGTCACGTAGAAGGGAAGTAATAAAATAATAAAAATAAAACATTTAAAGCTTCTTTCGTGACTGCAGGGATTCATCTTCTTGGTTCTTTCGGTAAAGTCACGTAGAAGGGAAGTAATAATAATAAAATAATACAAATAAAACATAACAAAATACAATTCTCACGACGTTTCGGCCACAACGCAAGCAGCCGTCCTCAGGTGTCGGAAAGACAGCGTCCGAATGAACACCACCAAGTTTGGCAGCGTATATTTAAGCTGGGTTAGTGGAGGTGGGCGCCTTGACAAAGGAATTTACATATTTATGGGAAATGCAGATATGGGATTAGTCACTACTTGTGATTATTTTGTCTTATATACTGCATACAAATATAACTTAGCTTTGACTAAGGAACGATATCGTAAGGAAGAGCATCCGTGCCTATAACATCTTGACACTGAAACGTTCTTACCCCGTGCCCCTACAGGTAGAAGTGTTATTCAAACAATGTTCAGCGATTCATATTCTTGGTTCTTTCGGTAAAGTCACGTAGAAAGGAAATAATAAAATTATAAAAAATAAAACATTTAAAGCTTCTTTCGTGACTGCAGGGATTCATCTTCTTGGTTCTTTCGGTAAAGTCACGTAGACGGCTGCTTGCGTTGTGGCCGAAACGTCGTGAGAATTGTATTTAATTATGTTTTATTTGTATTATTTTATTATTATTATTCCCTTCTACGTGACTTTACCGAAAGAACCAAGAAGATGAATCCCTGCAGTCACGAAAGAAGCTTTAAATCGAAATTTAATTGTTTTATTTTTATTATTTTATTATGTTTTTATTTTTATTTCATAATGTTTTATTGTATAATTTATTATGTTTTATTTTTATAATTGTATAATGTTTTAGTTTTTAGTATTTTATTATGTTTTATTTGTATTATTTTATAGTTTTATTTTTATTATTTTTATATTCCCTTCTACGTGACTTTACCGAAAGAACCAAAAAGATGAATCCCTGCAGTCACGAAAGAAGCTTTAAATCGATAAAATTGGTGTCTACCTGCTTATTTTCCAGGTACCATCACGATCGTGAGAGTACCGTATGCAACAATGACCGTGCTGTAACCTCTCTTGAACCGGGAGCTTCGACTCGTCACCTCTGCAAGGTAAAAGTTGTGGCGAGGAGGGAGGGGGTCACCATGCTATAAAATAACGAGAGACGTTTAATGTTTTGTTATTTATGTAGGTACTGTACCTACATAAATGATGACTTGGTCAATTCATGATAATACAGTGGTATGTGGTACTAACTTGGTCTTAAATTCCTACTTTACTCATGGCCTGCGTTGGTAAATTGCAGAGATTATTGCGTGGTCGGTTACATTGGACGTAGACTTGCTGTTATCTGTCCATAGGTGGCTTAAGATTTCTTAAATGCAATACTCCGCTCTCCATCATCTCACCGAGTTTTACCTCATCATAAAGTTTACCTCAGTTCCTGAGACCCGTTCGTAAGTCGAATGGTTCGTCAGTCGCAACCCAATAATGCACTGAATTTAAATGCCCATACGGTCGGTGTCATAAAATTTGTTACGCGTCAACAAAAAAGGGAAGCATTGTTACAACTCATTAATAACAAACCATATTGTACATTTGCATTAGTAAGTACTATATAGTTATTAAAACATAAAATGAAGTAACATAAATAGAAAAAAAATCAGTTTTACGTTTACTGACCTTGAATCCTGACACTGGCTTGCTTGTCCGAAGGGGCACAATGAGTCACCACAATTGCACA